CATATAGTTTAGTTTACTTTTTTTTTAATCGTTTTTTCTTTTTTACTACTGAATATTTTAAACTTTGAATATTTAGTATTAGTTATATTTTATTTCTAAAAACATAAAATCAAATCAAACAGATTAACATAAATTAAAACACGAGAGAATATCTGTTGTCTTTTTAAAATTTGAGGGCAATGAATTATGTTGCACTTTATTTTAGAAACCATATAGAAGTAATTATTGTTGTCCACACAAAAATAGTATTTATCATTAAAATAAAAATACATCTATGTATAATATAAGAGGAAAAATAAGTCACGCACGATAAAAGTATCATGTTTCAATATCACAATTATTTTTTTCAATTTTTTTTAACAGTAAAAATTAATTATTTGTAATTATAAAATAATAATAGATTACAATTATAAAAGCAGATTTTTTTTAAACTGCCAATTTTAAAAATTACCCATTTATAATTTTAAGCAATTTTAACAGCATGTTTATACACTATACACAACAAAATGCTCCTTATTTACATCAACTAAATATATATATGAAGTTTAATATCCTTTTTTCTCTATTTTATTAATATTATACTTCTCCAAAATCAAAATCAACATCAAAATTCCAATTTCTTTGTATAACTAAAATTAATTATTTGTAATTATATATATAAATAAATTACAATTCAAAAAAGAATACATTTATTTTGAAACTGTTGTAAATTAAAGTGGAACAGTTTTAAAATTTATCTATTATAATTTAAAACATTTAAAACCAAATTTTCCTTATTTGTAGCAATTTAAATTTTCTTTTTCCACCTATTTTTAAATTTCTAAATATTGTACTTATCCAAATCTACATTCTAAATAATTGAAGTTCTTGAATTTTATTGATAATGTTCCACAAATTTAAATGTCATTATCTTAATTGTTCATTTTAAGTGTTCGCTTTGTGTTTGCTTCATGATTTATTTATATATAGTAAATATATCCGCGCTTCGCGCGAACCTCATTAGATTTATGAATAATTTTTTTTATTTAAATATTTTGAGTCAAATATTATTATCATTGAACCCAATAAATTATATTTCAACTTGTAGTTCACTATCTATATTTTTAGTACTTTAATTATAGTTGATTTTGTATAATCTATTTGATATAGTATGTTTAGAAACATGTAAAGAAAGAAAAATAATTTCAAGAAAATTTTCTTTTTGTTTCTGCGACCGTAATAAATTCTAAATTATATTTTTAGGATGTTAAATTATACGGCGTTCATAAAAAATATTGAAAAAAGTTACTCTAAGTAGATAGATAACCAATAATTTAATATATATATATATATATATATATATATATATATATATATATATATATATATATATATATATATATATGAAATTCCTAGAGGGGAAATATACAATTAATTTCAAGTCATGCTTATCATATTATTTTATCTAAGATAATTACATCTTTTAGAATCTATTGTTTGTAAAATGATAAATGGTAAACTTTTATTTTAGTGAAAATAATCTTTGGTATATTAAGAAATCATGTCAACACTACATAAGCAATTCAATAGGAGTATCATATTTGCATTATTCAACTAACAAAATATTCCACTTAATTTTTTTAATTTAACATGAGTCTAATATGAAAATCAAACATTCAAGATAAAAAAAAATAGCAACATAGTAATTATTAATACAAAACGGAGAAAAAAAGCAACAGTTGCAATATACGAAAACTATTAGTACATTCTACCAAAAAAAACTATTAGTACACACTGATAAATATATATAATATATAAAAAATAAAAAAATTGTAATAAAATACAAAACTCTATAGAAAATCTCCTTAAAATTGTTACTTATAGTAATAAAAAAGATAAGAAAAACTACATAACTTGCACATTAATTACTTTAGGAGGTTATCCACCTAAAAGGTTTTGAAGTCATGAATATTATTAATTACCAATTAAAAATAAAAGTTACATAGATAAAAGAAAATATAAATTATGCAGAATAATACTATTGAATAACTATTTGAAGAAGATATTTTGAAACTTCTTTTTAAATATCACACTGGTGAAGAAAAACAAAACAAAAAAAAGCTAAAAATTTTAGAAAAAAAGATAAATGTAATTGGAGGTGATAGGAATGTAGCACATCATCTTATTTATATTTAACATTCTAACTTTATATGTAAATAGACATATTGATTGTAAGTAAATAATAAAGAGAAAACAACTTCAAATATTTTTTAAAAATTGTTATTTTGAAATTTATAATTAGAAAAAGGTAAAAAAAAAAAGAAAATGAATCTATTAAGAGTGGAAACTAGAAAGATGTGAGTTATGGATAGTTATTATTTACTTCTTATAAATTAGTATGTGAAAAGTTTTTATTGTAAATGTTCCTCTATTGATAAAAAATTATTTTCAATTAATTGAGTAAACTATTTTTACAAAAAATCAATTAATTTAAATAAGAAAAGGATCAAAAAAGAGAAGATAAAAATGTCACATCACTTTTTTATGTTTCTCATTTACAATAACTAAGAGAAGTTAAATAAATTACATTTTTTAGTTCCAATATAATTAATGTGATCGAGGGAAATTTTGTTCTTCATTCTTTTTATTAAATAATTTATTTATTCATTAAATATTTTAAAATACTAAAAAGAAGATTTATTTATTTACTATTTTTTAATATGACAAATCAATCATATATTTTTTAGGGGCATCAATTTGCAATAGCTATAAGAAATGTATCATGTGCAATATTATATCTTTCATTTATGACAAAATTAACATATTAATTAGAACTTGACGAAAAGATATACATAAAAATGAAACCGTGTAACTTTTCATCTTCATCAATAATAATAATAATAATGATGATGATAATAATAATAATAATAATAATAATAATAATAATAATAATAATAATAAAAAGAGCAAAGTAAAATGAGTAAAAAAATGTCAATTGAGCTTTCTAATGTGTTGATTTGTAGAATTTCATAATTTATTTTTTGTTGAATGACATGAAATTATATATCTAATTAAAAAAAAGAGAGATAAATATAATCAAAACAATACATGAATGAATGAATCTTCAAAATATTTGGAAATCATTCAAACTTTTGTACTAATATGATCATTTTCTTGTTGAAATCTTGAAATAATTAAGATTCCTTCTTCATTTTGATAAACTTGTACCAAACTAATGCAAACATCTATTTGATGAATCTTGAAAAATATATCTATGATCTTTATCAAAATGAAGACCATATGGTGAAATTATTACGTACATGATTGATGAAAAAGATGAAGAAAAAATTTAAAAAAGAAAAAAACTATGCTAATAAAAAGAAAGAATGAGAAAATGAAAATGATCATTGACATTGAACTTAAATGGTTATTATTTATAGATGGTGTAAACGATAAAAATAATTAAAAATAAGTTGAAGAGACATATTAATTAAGTAGGGAATGTAAATAGATAGAGATTTTGTTGTAACTCATTTTAGATATAATTATAATAATAAATATGAATAAATTTTTTAATTAATAAACAAATTATTTAATGAAACGAAATTAAAAAAAAGGAAGAAAAAAAGAAATTGAAATGGAGGCCATAGAAAGGTGCCACATCACCTCCTCTATGATCATCCTATACACACACATATATATATACACACTCACACACACATATATATATATATCTGTGTGTGTGTGAGAGAGATTTTATGTTTGATTCTTTTTGTGTCTTTATGCCAAAGGAACAATTATTCAGATGAATGTGTTTGTTAAGTTATTTCGTAATTGAATGAAACGAATCCTAATTTCTCTTTTACTCCTTCTACAATTTTTTATTTATATATCTAATTATAAAATGAGGTTATCTTAAGTGGTTAATAAGTTCTAGAAAATTCATTGAATTTTTGCGGTGTCAATTTACAATTTTACATATTTATAGTTATTACCTCACAACTACATACAGTAGTCCTCTTATCATTTATTATTGTGCCTATTTATCTTCACTTAAAATACCATCAAAACTAGATATTAAATTTCTTAATTATTTTTGTCCATCTCTCTTTGTTTCGTATTCAAGAGAGTATCAATTGAGTAAAAGATCAAAGTATAAATTATAATTGAAAAATATCTATTTAGTGAAAGATTAGATACCAAACAATCGAAAAATATCTATTTAGTGAAAGATTAGATACCAAACAATCGAAAAAGTGTAAGTGAATGAAAATTTATATTTATTGCTATTATAGAAGAGTTATTCTTATAAAAGAGCTAATTATCTCGATTGAGATTGAGAAATGAGTACTTAAAAATTAATGAGATAGGAATTACTTAATGATGTGTATAAAGTTAGTTAAAGTTAGTTAGAAAGTTGTTAGAAGGTTGTTAGTTAGTTAGTATAAGAAACCATATTAGTTAGTCCTTTGTATTCTGCTTCTTCTTCTTCAAGCTTTGAATCAATGAAGAACTCTTCTCTTTCTTCTTTTTCTCTCTAAACACACATGTGATCTGCCATGGATGATGAGCTCATATAGTGAAGATTAGGTGCGTTAACATGGTATCAAAGCTATACATCCACAATTACAAGTTCTGCTAAACTTGTGTTCTGCAATTACTGCTTCGCTGATGGCATCAATGGCGAATCTCAAGTTTGATCACACTCATCCACTCTTTCTACATCCATCCGATACTACAGGTACATCCATCATTCCGATGCAGCTAACAGGATCAGATAATTACTCCATTTGGAGCAGAGCCATGCGAATCCAATTGCTTGGGAAGAACAAGCTGGGTATTGTTGACGGCAGCTGGAAAAAGGAGGATTTCGAAACTGAATTAGGGCATCAATGGGATCGATGTAATGCGATTGTTCAAGGTTGGATTATGAGCTCTGTAACTCAGGATTTGCATACAGGAATTGTATATGCAACAAGTGCACGAGCTGTTTGGGAGGATCTTCGAGAGCGTTTTGACAAATGAATGCATCAAGGATCTATCAGTTGCATAAGGCCATAGCCACCACTGTACAGGATGTTGACAGTATAGCAACCTATTTCTCTAAGCTGAGAAATTTATGGGATGAGTTTGCTAGTATTACACCTCCACCCTGTAACTGTCCAAATTCTAAGGATCTGTCTATGCATATGGAGAAACAAAAGTTGATGCAATTTTTGATGGGGTTGAATGAAACCTATGAACAATCACGTAGTCAGATATTGATGGTTGAACCTACACCCACTATTAACAAAGCCTATGCTATGCTTATTGAAAGGGAGAGTCAAAGATCACTCACATCTACATCTATGAGTGAAGAAAGTGCAGATTTAGCTGCTCTAATGGCAGGAAGAGGAGGACCTCCTCGTTACAGTAAAGGAGTTACTTCACAGTCTAACTCTAATCAATATTATAAAGGGAAGAAGAATTGGGATTTGAAGTGTGATTATTGCAAGAATCAAGGACATGTAGAGGCTAACTATTTTCGACTTCATGGTTATCCACCAGATTGGAAATTCAAGAAGAAAGGGACAGGTAACAATGCCTATAATGCTAATAATGTCCAGACTGATAATTTTTCAATGCATTCAGGTGCAAGAAATCCACCTAGAGCACCTTCTTTGACTGATGAGCAACATGATCACATTTAACATATTCTAGATGGAGATACTTCCACAGTTAATGTGATGGCCAATATGGCAGGTATGGCTCACATAAATGTTATTAAACTTACAGATTTGCCTTGGATAATTGATAGTGGTGCAACAAATCATATGGTTTCTACCTTAGAAGTGCTACATAATGTACAAACTGTTAGGCCTGATCAAAATAGAAAGGTTCATTTACCCAATGGAGGTGTGACTTTTGTGACTCATATGGGTAATTGCAGTTTCACAGATACAGGAGAATTGCATGATGTTCTATATGTGTCTGAGTTTAAATACAATCTCTTGTCTGTAGCCAAAGTTACTAAGGAGCTTAATTGCTTTGTATCATTTTACCCTGGATTTTGTGTGTTCCAGGATCTTTCCAGTGGGAAACTGAAGGGGATTGGTAAAGAAAAGGATGGTCTCTATTTTTTGGTTCAAACAAGTTCATCAAAACATAAAGGTTCAGAAATTAGCAATGTCAAAAACTTTGCTGCTCATGCTGACAAACTGGACATCATGCTTTGGCATAGAAGATTAGCTCATGCATCAGTAAGATCTATAAAGGATTTGTTAGGTTATTCTGTTGACAATTGCAAATCAGTTTTAAGTACTTGTGAGATATGTTCACTAGCTAGACATACTCGACTTCCTTTCTACAGTAGTAGCACTAAATCTACAAGGATTTTTGATTTGCTTCATTTAGATGTATGGGGGCCTTATGACACTCCAACATTTGATGGAAATAAGTTCTTTTTCATTATTGTTGATGATTTTTCGAGAACAATATGGGTTTTCTTATTGAAGTTCAAATATGATGTGCTGGTTATTTTTGAAGCATTTTTTAAAGATGATTGCTACTCAAGTTTAATGCAAAAATTAAAGGAGT